TGTTGTGCCACTTCCTGTTATTGTTGTTGTTGCTGCTGTTGTTGTTGTTGTTATAGCTGTAACACATTTCGTCAATGTAAATAAGCAAAAATTTTGTGCGACAGCCACAATAGGAACAACAATGCCAGCGATAATCGCCTTAGTAGCGAAAAGTGCATCTCTCTCTCCCTCTCCCTCCCTCTCTCTCTCTCCTTTTTTCCCAACTCACACAATTATAGAAATATATATACAGTTAACGCCGGCCATAAGGTCATGTCACGCATACTAGTACCGTCCATGCCAGCGGATTTAAGTCCGCAATGACAAAAACAAGCTGCCACACACACACACACATACACATACACACACCCCTCTGCCACCACCCCACCCCTCTTGCAACTTTTTACAGAAACTTAAAAATTGTAACAATTGGCAATTGTGTGGGTCTTGCGGCTTGACGAGCCTTGAGCGTCAAGCATTGAGCATCAGGAGTCGCACAAGCGGAAAGGATAACACGCACTTCTGAGGCCGCTCAGCTCTTCTGCCCGCCAGCCCGCCAGCCCGCCACCCGTGGCCCAGAGCATGAAAGTTAATTTACGTCACGCAGCATTTTCAATCAATGTCAGTGCTGTTTGGTTCTGAAAAGTGCGAGCAGCAGACGGGCAGGCGGGCAGACGGGCAGACAGGGTCAGACGAATATCGGTTCGTTAAGTTGCCAAGCGACGACGGCATCTCACACTTTGATTAGTCCGAAGGGTTGAGGTTGAGGCTGAGGCTTGAAGGGTTCGCATTTGGGCTTGGGCTGAGGGTTGAGGGTTGCCTCCCGGCCCAGCCACCGCCTGCTGTTCTTGTTTATTTTCATGTTGCGCTTGCATAACGCAATCACATTGATCTCGCTTTGATTTGCATTTAAGCGACACTTGACGAGTGCGTCAAAGCAAATAAACAAACAAACCAGCAAACAACAACAATCAACACACACCGACATCTCGTCGGATACAGTATGGCCCGAATTAGCGACATATTTTTATAGCTGACATTTATCGCTTGGTCTCTTAATTGGGCATTAGAACAAACTGTTGCGCCAAAGCCCAATAATCGCTCCGAAACTCATCTACATTTTTGTATTTTTATTTTTATTTCTATTTGTATTTTCTTTGTAAACAAAATCGAAGTTAGAGACCCACACAGACGCACCAATAAATTGTTGTGTTTAATTGAATGCAACGCTCAAGCCAACTTTTGATGAGGGTGCTACGAGTATACATAATTATAGAGTAGTCCGACTCTTCGGCACTGTCTGGCTCAGCGCCTCGTCCCGCGTCTGACCTGTCTGTCCACAACTAATTGCATGGATTATTTATATGGAAATCTAGCTAGGCGTACGAAGTCGTCGTGTTAACGCCCAGTTTTCGAATTGTGCCCTTTTGTGGTTCCACCGTGTAATTATGTTGTATGAGCCGAGACTTAAGACACGCTTTCAAGAAAATTGTGGGTCTGCCTACTCTTCGACTGCTGCTCTAGGATGGATGTGAGCGGACAAATTTTATCCACACTTATTTGTTTAATTGTGGAAAATGTAGGATTTTTTGTGATTCATTCAAAAGATTTACAGGAAAAAGTTACTAACACTTTGCTGCTTACAGAAAATTTTAATTTTTGATGCACTTTCTTATTTATGATCTAAATAAACTCTAACTTCAAAAAAGTGGAATTGAAAACAAATTTTTCAATACAGACAATTAAATATATTACTATAATTTTAACTTTGTTCGTTAGATTATGGAAAGCCTTTGACAGCAAAAGGTTGTAAAACGAATTAAAAACTAATTCAAAACAAATTCTCCAATATAAGCATAACGTTTTACAATGTTTTCCAAAAAGGCAAAGAGCAGTGTTGGATGGTCTAAAATTTAATATTACTACTTATTTCAAATTGAAAAATATAATTTACATAAAATAGTGAACAATTCTTGGAAAGCTGGAGAACGCCATTCCTCTTATTTAAAATTCTTTCTTTTTTTGCGTTTATTTTAAGCAAGCTGATTAGCTTAAGCGCTGATTATTAAGCTGGGCTCTAAAATGGTTTGCGGAAAATTCCCAAAAGACCTGTTTGGAGCCCTCAAGGTGGAAGGTGTAAAGCTTTTGTCGCCCCTGGCAGCTCTTTGATTATGTTGTTTAGTCGATTTTGAAGTGGCTAGTGGCTGGTGGCTGGTGGCGACTCCGTGTGTGTTGAAGGCACGAGTGCTTGACAAACAGCAACAACACAAGCCAGAGCTTGAGAGTGCCACAGACTCACTTGTGCCGCCCTAAGCTCGGCTCTAGACTGCCTGTCTGTGGATCTGCGCAACAACAACAAGAACAACAACAACAGTAACAACTTCAAACTTAAAGACAACTTGAAGAAAAAAATCCCCTGAAAATGTTCAATATTTTGAGTGACGTAGTTTTTACAACAACTTTTAACGCACTTGGCGCTGCTTTTTGAAGATTTTTATGCGCGTTCGGCCCTCGCCGGTGAATTATTTATGGTGATAGGCAAAATATTTTTATGTATGTGCCACACACACACTCACACGCACACACACACACACACATGCAACACAAAAGCGCGCACTCTAAAGTAAAATGAGGAAAAAAGAAGATGAAGCGACGCGCTGCCTCTTGTCTGGAGTGGTGATAATGCAGTTTGAAGGCAGGCTTGTGAGGCTGGCGGTCTGTTTTCAGTATTTCATCTTCATCTTCTTCTTCTTCTCCGTTTTTCAGTTTATTTTTTTTTATTTTTTGGACATACTCGTAGAGTTTTCAGTCTAGTGTGGTGAAGCGCGAGCCAATCCAAGCGCTGAATGCGCTCATGTCAATAGTTGTTGCAAAACTTTAAAGCATGCCGCCGCCGACAAGCACCAATACAACAACTACAGCAACAACATGGACAGTAACTATGACACTACAGCAACAACAACAAGAAAAACAACAACAAGTGCTCTAAGCCAACCCAACACTTTGACGCGTTTTATGTTTGCGTTGGCACGACGACGCGCCATTTTGATTGATTTATCTACGCTTTGAACGCGCTTTACTTTGTAGCCAAATTAAATCTGCTGTAGTTCAAATGCAGTACAGTGAACACTGCATAGCAGCGCCAAGAACATGACTTCCCATACTAGAAATACTCTAAGATATAGTAGAATAGGAGTTCTCTAAAAAGGATGCCCCTTAGCTTCTTGATAATGTTCCTTATTAAGCCGAAATTTGTCTTTCATACTTTTCGATTGATTGAGAAATGTATTTATGTAGTATATACATATATATATGTACTGTATGCATATAACTTTGTAGTACATACATATGTAGAAAAAGTACTACAAGTATGATTTGGGAAGATTCGATGCTCAAAATGTTGTTTGATATCTCTGCTATGGAGGTAAGCTTTTATTATTGGCTGTGTTAACTCGCCAGCCTAAAATATATGCGAAATATCTGAGAGAATTGGGAAACTAGATACTGATTGATAAGCGTCATAGACTAATCTATATCTCATAGATAGAAGGAAAAGATTGAAGGAATTCGGGAGCTTCTACAATGTAAGCATTTTATGAAGTCCAGAAAGTGATATTACAAGTATTGTAAAAACGTATATGTTCCGTTTATTTATTAGTGAAATAAAAAAAAATAATGGTGATTGGAACTTCGACTACTCAGTACTACTTCAGTACTTCTACTATTAGTAAACAGTCTGAGAACGATTCTCTCAACCCCACATATTCCCACATGTAGTATTAATTGCACTTCCGCCGATTCCAATATAAATACTAAGTACTCGACTGATATAGCTGATATGGAAATGGTTCGATTGATTAGCAAAGACACTCTAAAGCAAGCAAATGTTATGTACAAATGATATTTGGACATAATCTATATTGACTGTACTTCAAGCAGGCACTGGTATGTGTGTGTGCGTGTGTATGTGTGTGTGTTCGCCCGTTCGTATGAATGAAAATTATCTACACTTGAATAATTTTGTGGCAAACGCGCAAATTTTCATGTTAATTTCGCGCTCGTAGCCACAGCGATAAGAAGAGAAAACGGCAGCCCCGTCAGGCGAGTCTCAGAGACAAAGAGTGTGAGAAAGAGAGCGGGAGGAGAGTTCAGCTAGTTGCTGTTTCTTTTTTTTCCGCTCAGTTCAGTTGAGTAAATTTCGGGCGTAGCAAATAGATATTTTCTACTTTTTAAGTAGGGAGACAGCGCGACTGGCGGACGGCAAGAAGTGGAAGTGGAAGTGGCAGCCAGGAATGTGGTTACCAAAGATATTTTCAGCTGCTGCACAAAATTCCATTGCACGCCAACGGAGTGGCGAGGGGCAGGACAAAGGAGGAACTGAAAGGAAAGCAACCAACAACCAGCTTCCATTGTCGTCGAGGGGTGGTTCGGTCTGGTTCGGTTTGGCTTGGGCAGAACTTGTAATGTGCCGTAATTTTATGCACGAATTCGTAAAATGTTATTCAAATGGAAAATGTGATTTTTATCAATTTTGACAGGAATTTTTCCCAGAAAGCATAAAGAAAACGCAGCAAAAAGGAGCAAGTCTAGCTGGGCCGGAATACGTGTACGCCTTGTTGGGCTGAGGACTAATGTGGTGCTGGCAAGAAAAGTTGGGACAAAGTGGAGGCAATTGTACTTCTGAAGAAGACGCACTTTAAACTGAGGTCGGGCAGGCATTATTAATAAATGTGCTTAAGAAAAAGTTCAAACAGCTTCTATGGAGCTGTTCTGACTAGACTCGAAAAATTGTGTTTAATTAAAGAGACTTTGCTTGTGGAACTAAAATTGAGAGATTGCTTTTTTCTATCGCAATATCTTGACAAATCGTCGAGCGAGTTCTCTGGAATTTAGATATAACTTTTCTGAGAGTCTACACTCTTACGGGTCGTCTCCCATCTGGCGCTATAAATTTGCAATAAACTACAAAAGCCGAACCCACTTGTTGCTTAGCTATTAAGGTCAGAGGGAATGTGACTTACCAGGGTCTGATGTATCTAAGACAGGTGGCTGCTGTGATAAAGGACCAGGTGTACTACCAGCGCCCGGCGAGCGCGCATCATCGTTCATTGCGCCCCCATAGGACAACGATGAGCTGGGCGGCCGCTGCAAATAGATAAGGTAAAGGGGATTATTAGAGCATACAGTTTCAGTTAGGTGCCAGTTAATAGATACATCATACTCGTAAGTATGATAGCGTGTTAGGTGTTTGTTAGAATTAGTAACAAATTGCTTATAAATGTCGCTTTAAATTGACGCGCCGGGCATAAAATCAGGCACACAACACACACATAAAATCGGACATATAGCCACTATAAAGTCGCCATTTAAATGGACATGCGTCGTCGTAGTTGTTGTAGTTGTTGTAGTTGCTGTTGTTGTTATTGTAGTTGTCGACGTCGCGTCTGTTGCTGTCGCTGTCGCATTTGCTGTCTGCACGACTGTCAAGTTGTCAAAACTGCCATGGCCTGGCCATATTATGGCCAAACAAATGCCTGATCGCTGATCGTCGATCGTGGCCTAGGCCTAGACAACCACCACAACAACAGCAACAACAACAACAACTGCGAGCACAATAAACAACAACTGTGCTGTATAAGATATTAAATTAATATGCAGCAACTGCCTTGGGCAGCGATTTTGTCTGCGATTTTGTCTGCTTTGGTTCTCTGATTGCTTCTTCTAACTGCGACTAGAGGCGACGCGACTGCCCGGCCGAGCGGAGAAAGAGCAACAAAGCAGCAAAGCGACAAGGCGACAAAGCGACAGCCTCGTCATCTTCAGACGACAACGGCGGCATATTAAGCGTTCCTGCCCAACGCTGCACAAAACCAAAAATGTCAACGTCCAATGAGCCAAGAGCGTACATAGACCCAGTCCCAGTCTCAGTCCGAGTCACAGACCCACTCCCAGACCCTCCATTATACTCAGCGCCCCGCACGAAATCGATCGGTAACAGCAATTTAAATTCTGCTAATAACGAAAAATTTGTCGTCAACGTCAGTCGTTGTCGTTTCTTAGTGGGCTACGGGCTCTGGGCTGTGGATTGCGAGGAGTTTGGTGGGAGGATGTGGGTGCGGGGGCAGGCAGTAGAACGGAGCGGGGGGAGCGGCAAGTTAACAAAATTTTGTGCGCTTCGCATTAATTTCATGCACGTGCACAAATATCTTTTTGCCTTTGTTGCTTTGTTGCTGTTGTTGTTGTTGGTGGGGGGCACAATTTTTAACCATAAAATTATTATTTTCCCAAGCTCGTAAAAATTCTTGACTTTCGAATACAATAAATTTCGAGTGCGTGTGTGCAAATACTCGTATGTGTGTGTGTTTATACGAAATTTTGATTCATTTAGCATGCAGTGCGCGGCGCATGTGTTTTCGCTAAATATTTGTTAAATCGCATATTAATAGCGCCCTGCTATAGACAATTTCAGTGTGCGTCTGTTGTTGTTGTTATTACTGTTGCTCTGTTGCCGGGCAGGGGTGTAGGGGCAAGCAAAAACATGAATTTCATCAAAACACCGAGCTATATAGTAGTTGTAAATTTCACTTAGTCTCTTATATCTATATGATTAGTTTTTTCATAAGCATGTTCTTTAAATAATTGATTTACTGTTCTGTTAAGCTAATTTGAAACATTAGACTAGTTGAAGCTGAATGACAACATAAGGAACCCAATATCCTTATTTTCCATGCAATACTATGATCTTCTCTTCTGATGGAAGAAACATTTATCTATACTTTAGAAAGTATTTCAAGCTAGGCTAATTTTCTACACAACGTTCAAAAAAACTGAGATTTTCAGCAAACACACTTTAGAAAGATGTAGGAATTAGACAGATGTAGGAATTAGACTTTCAATTAATTATAAATCCACACAAATACTATATAAGCTCCTTTTTTGATCCACCAGAATCAGCTTATTAAGTTTCATCATTTAAAAGGAGTATTGAAAGTTAAACAATATGTTTAGAACATCGAGAAACAAAGCTGAAAAACTTCTTTGAAGACTATTGACTATAAGACTTAGTCTCCCTTCATAACGCTTTCCCCTTGTCTTCCTTTAACTTGCCTTAGCTTCAAGCTCAGAACAATTGCCGTCATATAATATTCTTCAACGATTTTCTGATCACTCACTCAGTCCGCTGATGTTCGAAGAATCTGCCAACCTACCAGCTACTTTCAATTTCAAACACACACTGCGCACTCGCAATCTATTAATAATTAGCCACGTTGTCTGCATTTTAAAACACCTCATAGTCCAGTGTTCACTGTGTTCCGGGCTTTATGAGAAATGTTGACAAGCTGAGGTGTCTCTGATGGGCAATAAATGGCAGTGGAAACGACGACAACTCTCTCGATTCTAAGTTCCCGACTCTCATAGCAATTGGCATTATTTTTCTTTTATTTTGTTCTCTTGCTGCCTTTTCCACAGCAATTTCCATAGCAAACTTTATGAGCTATAAAATAAAAAAGCAAAGTGTATATAAAGCGAGGCCTACAATGCGAACGCGGCCTAATTTGTGGCTCATTAGGACGACTGCAAATGAAACTATTTAATTGGGCGCTGCAAAAGGCCATAAACGGCTCGGCGGCTCTAGACGCTGCCCACGGACAAAGGGCTGCCTTGAATTTTCCCAGCACAATGCTGGCACTACGGACAACAACAAAAAAAAAAAAAACAATACTTAAGCAAACAGTAACTTTCCTTTTATGACAAGCAGTCCGAGAAATTTGATAGCTTTGTCGGAACGTTCGCTCAAGTTTGAAATTTTTCGCACTTGCCGCACACTCTCCGTTTTTTTTTTCCTTCAGTTTTTTTCAATTTTTTTATCTCTTGACTTTTGGGAGCTGGTTGGCGGCTGGGCTTATTGAAATTGTATCGAGTTACGACGGTTACGGGCTTGTCGAACACGACTAGTGTTGAGGGACGAGGACAAGGCATGCGCCAAAGGACAGTGCTGGGCAGTTGCTTCTGTCTCTGCGACGACTGATGCGTGCATTAATTACAGTTTCAATTAGCGGACGGTAATAACCAAAGAAATTAAGCTATCGAATTGCCCGGATCCCCTGCTCCGTCCCCTCCCCTCCCCATCGCATTGCATGTCCTGCGACAATTATGATCAAATATTGGTTTTTATCTAAATGATGATGTCCCTGCCCATAACTTTTCGACCTTTGCAAGCTGCGTGCCGCCACATTCTTTTATTTTAATATTAATGAAAGGTAGCCGCCCAGCTCCAGCCCCAACCCCAACCCCATCCCCAGACTCAGAAGCAGCCCCAGACCCAGCCCCAGCTCCTATGCTCCTCCCTCGACCATGTCACGTAATGTGGCCGCACGCCTCCAACTACACCAAGTGGAAGTGAAAAAACAAACTTTTGTGGCCCTTTGGGTGCATTAAAATGATCAAGAAACAATTTTCGTTTACCTTTTCCCCCGGCCTCCCCCGGTTTGGGGGTTTGGGGACTGTAGTCGCACGCCGCCAAATTATTTATTTAACAGCTAAGCACTGCGCCTGGGGGCGTTGGCGAACACCCGCAAAACATTTTGGCATCGCATTCCGGGGCCATAAGCAAAATGGCGTGCGTTGGCTTTAAATTTTTGATGATGCAACACAAGTGACTGCCACTGACAATTGTCATTGTGGAGAGCAGTTCGGCTGCTGATGAGGTGGGTGGGGGGCAGGGATAAGTCTGTTGTAGCTGGGGCGTGTTTAAAAATTTAGTCAAGTCGCCGCAAAATTGTGATGTGCATGTTCACATCGCTGTACGAGTATGTGTAAGTTGTTAAAAGTTATTGTTGTTATTGGCAATTACTTGAAAGGGAACAAGCAGCGCATTAAATACAGTCCAACTACTCTAAAAGGGACGCCCAACACTAAAACAAATACCAGTCTATTGTAGCTATTAATTATAATGGTACGGCCTTTTCAAAGTCACAAAAAAAAGCCTCAAGTCGAAAAGTTGTTTATCATAGATTTTGTTTTTCTCGTAGTGTCAATTGATTGTTTTAGGTTAGCTTTTCATTTTCAGACTGTGAAGAAATTTCAAATAAATTCTTTGAATAAATCAGCTTTTCATTAAAGCTCGAACTTGTGTTTCAAAAAGTATTCCACCTCTCTAACTAGTTTTAACTTAAATGTGATAGTTTATGTTTCATTGCAGACTTAAGAAGTCAACATGGCAGATTTTAAATAAAGTTTACGGATTAAGGAAAATACAAACAGCTCTGAGAGCCATATATGAGCGAAGTTTTTAAGTCAATCATTATCTTCTATTGAGCAAGCAATTGGCTTGCAAATGTTTGATTCTCGTCTTCTTAGATACTTTCCAAGGAAATTTTACTGTTGCTGCCGTAAGAGCGATTCGTTTTAGAAAACTTTTGTTTAGGAAACATGTTGCAAACAACCCCCCGGCAAGCGGAAGGGGAGATGGCTCGACACTTCATTATGTTCTGCGGTCAGTTTTGTTTTCCAAGCGACTAGGCTAAGTCGGCTTAGGCCGTCACGTAATTGGCCGAGCCGCGTGCCGCGTGCCACGTCCGTCCAACGCCCAACGCCCCCGAACCTGTGCCCGGCATGGAATGCAGCTGAGAAGTCAAAACATGCAATTTTCGTGAGACACTCCAAAGTTTCCGAGCTGATTTCATTTGTTTTTATACATACAAGTACGAGTGTACTCGTATACTCGCAGCTCTATAATTTAACTCTCGAGTGGCACTCGCACGACGCGCGCGCTCTCGCCACGTTAATCACTACAATCAACAGTTAGGACTAACGCCCAACCCACGATGCCACCACCCAGCAACAACAACAACAACATCAACAACAACGAAGCAATCAAATTATGGCTATAGGTTGAGTATTTGATTTTGTTTGCTGGAGAAACTTGTGCCGAGAATGCGGGAATGCGTGGGAAGCAATTCTCTTTTCTTTTTTTTTGGAGGGGTGTTAATAGAACGCCGCGTGCTGTGCTTTGCTGCTTGGCTCTAATTGTTGTTGTTGCTGCCACACTGGTGCTCTATAATTTTGGCAAATTGGCCGGCAGCGCTTGCCGTGTGCATTTGACATGTTCTGGAAGGGTAGCAGAGGGAAGAGGCGTGGCAAGT